CTGGAAAGAACGTCTGAACAGGATGCAAGACAGCACACTACCAAATCTGCATACTTACATAATCCTTAACCACAGAGGAGCAACGAGCGTGTAGAATGAAATTCGTGAGCTAGAAGAATAACAAGACGAGGAAGTAAACAAAGGAAGAGAAGGGAGGAAAAGCTAGGTAGGAATAGGGACAGAAAGAACGTTAGTGAGAAACATAAAAGATAGGAAGGGGTAGCAGAATGGTAAGAAGACAGAGGAAGAGAGACAAATACAGAAAGACGGGGAAAGAAGAATAGGTTACTGTGAGACTAAGCCTGACGCCATGAAGGCTTTGAAGTCTCGACATTAGATGTAACTGGTCAGATTCGCCGTTTTGTTACTATAGCTGCAGAAAAGGAAATAGTTGAGAATGGTCAGGGCTGCCCAACTCCTGTGCTAAGGAACGAAAGCCGGCTTTGCATATTACGGAACTACTTGGAATTGTGTTCTGCTTGAAGAAAGCAGCAATAACACGTTGCAATCAAAGAAGTCTACTCGTTAACAGATTTTGCTAGACTGTCACCAGTGGCCTTTTAACCTTTGTCATTAGAGGGTTGCGTATTTGCTTCAAATCGGCCACATATAAAAATAGGACTATATGTTTGGCTCTCAATAACGAGTCTGAATGCTCTAAATCGTTGCCATTAATGTAGTAGGGTTATCGGAGCTAACATGGGAAATGCTGTGCTGTTACTAGCTTTCGCAGGTCTCCTGTCAGTATCTCTTAATGAAGCCTATGCCGTCAACACAAAACGGTCTCATTAAACCATAAATTTTTACAGATGGGTCATGTAAACGTGTAATAAACCACAGTGGTCCAGTCGTTGTTCATCTAAAGACGAAATTTGTTGTACTTTCGCACAAAAGAAGAATTATGTCATGATGCAGCTCAGGGGCATTTGCGATGCGATAAACGCTCTGCTAAGAACGAGGCGGGAAGGGCACTGGGCTTACGCCAAATGCCAAAGAATCATGTACCGACAGCCCACGGGAATGTGAGCTTTTTCCTGGTTCGAGAAAGAGAAAGAATACTTCAGCGATTCAGTAACATCTTGAGCATTATGACGTCAAGTGAGAGGGCAGGCTGACGTAATTGTGGCTGTCCCGAGATTTCTCACGGGCTAGACGACCCCTCTAGGATCAAGAATTTTCTCCAAGTCTTCCAGATGGGCTCTGGGGCCCACCCAATCTCCTGTCCATTGGGTACTAGCGGCTCTTTCCCCGGGGCATGAAGCTGACCACTCACCTCCCAACTAGTGCCGAGGTCAAGAAAATGTGGATCCTATACAGCCACTCCCCCATACGCCTTCATGGCATAGTGCTTAATTAGTTAAGCACAGGGACAACTTTATGGACACATTATCAGTCTTCTGTTTAACGTTTTCATTACATCCTTACCTGCGGGACTGTGAATATGCTTCCAGGGAAAAGTCGGCAGCGATTGGCCCTCGCCTTGTTCCACTTTTTACAGATTATACCATATATGACTAAGACAAGAAGAAAGCGGTTTGGGAACCGCCGTGCCCTATTTTCCCGACTGAAGTTCACCCGAGCTGGGGTAATGACCTAGACTTCCATTCAGGAGTTGCTTGGTTCGAATCTCGGCCATGCTTCCGCTTATCCTGACGATTTTGATGGTGTTCCCCATTCCCGTTAGGTAAATTCCGGGATAGTACCTTGATTGGGATACGAACACTTCCTTCCAACTCTTCAGTTATCATACTATTCAGCATCGTAAAATAGCCCGCAAAAATACATTCGAACCGCGTTGCTACACTACCTGCAGTGTCTCACAGAAAGAACACCCTGAAGATGAAGAGAGCGGTTGTGGCCTGAATTTAGTAACTTCGAAATTTGCCCGGAGAGATGATGCACGTCAGGATAGTAGGTGTCCTGGCCAAGATAGCGCCTCCCGAGGACCAGTCCAGAGCGTCCTCGGTGATCTGACTTCGGTTCCCACAGTGGTAAGGAGTGTATACACGCATTTGCTGCCTTTTCTAATTACCGTGCCCTGTATACTCGTAGACTGAAAGAAGGTAAACTAAGATTTTAAAGCTTTGGCGTTAGATGGAGTTGATTACTCAGCTCCATGAATTGCCGTTGTATCTCCATATAATTTGAGCTTTGCCTGTTAGACAGGAAGCTGGGTGAGCCCCAGAATCGGTCTAGTAGTGGTGCAGAATAGCAAATTGTGTGCCGACCCAGGGAATCGAAACCCGTTTGTCTATCCCACAGACATTTTATTAATTGTAAGTGAATATTCATTAGGGAGAGGTTCTGAAATCACTGTAAATTAGGTTGTCGCTAACGGCAGCCACCAATGGCTGTCATACTCAAGATTTAACACGAGGGAGCTAGGGTTCACCACCCTGAAACTGGTCCTTCATCCCTGTACATCTTGAACGTGTGTCTGTCTGTGAAGTGAACCTGTTCAGCTATCTCTCGGAACTCTTTTAACTAGTTACAGATCAAATTGATAAATTGCCACAAAGCATAAAACGAAAACTATGTCTTTCAGAATGGAAAGGATTGAACTTACCTTCGCGTTAGGGCCGCGCCATAGCTCAAGCGGTTAGTCCTGGCTTCCCACCGCGGCAGCCCGGGTTCTATCCCGGATCTGGTCAAGTGGGATTTGTGGTGGACAAAGTGGCGCTGGGGCAGGTTTTCTCCGAGTATTTCGGGTTCCCTTGCCAATCTTCATTCAACCAATTGCTCCACAATCACCCTCACCTATCATCTGGGGCTGGTACAATAGGCCAGAAGTGGCTGCAGTACAAGGGACTTAGTCCCACCACACTAGAAATAAAAAAAAAAATACCTTCGCGTTGGTGTCTGCGTGAAAATTATAGAAATGCGAAACATTAATAACGGGCGGCATGTAGTGACGGGAAAAATAAACGTTTGTATTTATCATTTGCTGTTGATACAATGTCCTTAAGTAAACAGAGCCTCTCTGAAACATACTACAAGACTGGAGCTAGTGGACGTCGTAATGTGGCTAGATTTCGAGTTATTTTTCATGGAGGACGCTGGGATGTATATACAGTATTTATTCCGCAACACAATCGATTTTCCTACCCGCTCAAATCAATACACCTGGCTCAAGCCGTGACTACTCGTATTCTGGAAGGCCCCCAATTTAAATTTCAGCCGGAATACCGAAGACTGTGACATGTTTTCTGTAGTTTTCCTCAATCCCTCCAGGCAAATGCCACAACAGTATCGAAAATTTGGTCGAAACCGCTTCCTTTCACTGACTCATGTAGCTGAGCTCTTTGGAAGCCGCCAGTTGTGCAGCTACTCAGGAAATTCCCAGCATTTTATGGAACCCCGAAGGCTCATTACCGTGTTCACAAGAGCCCTCCACTGGTCCCTATCCTGAGCCAGATCAATTCAATCCATACCATCCCATCCTATCTCTCTTAAGATCCATTTTAATATTGTCCACCCACCTACGCCTTGGTCTTCCCAGTGGTGTCTTTCCGACTTTCCCACCAATATCCTATATACAGTTTTCCTCTCATTCGTGCTACATGCCCTGCCCACCTCATCCTCCTTGACTTGATATTTCTAATTATACTTGGAGAAGAGTACAAGTTATGAAGCTCCTCATTATGCAGTTTTCTCCAACCTCCTGTGACTTCATTTCTCTTCGGTCCAAATATTCTCCTCAACACCCTGTTCTCAAACACCCTCAATCTGTGTTCCTCCCTTAATGTCAGAGACCAAGTTTCACACCCACACAGAACCACAATCAGAATTATCCTTTCTAATTCATCATTCACTGATCATAGTACCATTCGACGCCACATAACCTGAGCTACTGACAGCGTCGTTAAATCGCAAATGAAAATATACAAGTTCAGGGCCGAGATTTTGTTTAGGTTTAATGGACTCCTTTCTTTATATTTCCACGTCAGTATTCGTTTTCCATTGTTTAGGAATCAGGAATGAAATTGTTACAAATAACGAGAAATGTTTCATTTCATTGGCGTTCTCAGACATCACATTTAAGCTGATTCCCCCCCCCCCCCCACACACACACACACAGCGTGTTTATGTACGAATTATGTCCCTTTTAGCATTTTGACCCTTAAAACTCGGGCCGACTCTGTAGTCTAATGGTCAGAGTTCCTGGCTACAGATCCAGTGGTCCTGGGTTGGATTCCCGGCGCTGACAGATTTTCTGAGAGTTAGTGGGTCTGGAACGGGGTCCACTGAGCCTCGTGAGGATAATTGAGGAGCTATATCAAGGAAATAGCGGCTCCGGTCTAGAAAACCGAGATTAATTGCCGTGGGGATTCGTTGCGCAGACCACGCGACACCCTGTATCCGCAAAAGTTGGCACTAACTTCGGCGACAAGCGGCTGTCGTTCGGTCGGTATAGTTCGCTTGGGGACTACAGGTCACGGAGTTTTTTTTACGGTTAACCTCGTAGCATGACGATTTTTGTTTCAAGAATCCTGTCATGATATCTACAGGCTAACGTATAATTCTAGCCGGTCCCGGTAGCCGAGGAGTCTAAGGCATGCACTGTCTTCGCTTGCTCGGAAGCCGGGATCGTGGGTTCGAATCCCACTCAGGGCATGGATGTTTGTGTGCGTTTTTCTGTGTTTGTCTACAGGTAGAGGCCTTGCGACGAGCTGATCACTCGCCCAATGAGTCCTACCGTATGTGTAAGATCTAGAAAAACCGAAGTGAACGGAGAAGTTCATGGAGGTAGGACTAGGTCCACTGGGGCTGTAGTGCCAAGGAAAAAAAAAAAGTATAATTCTATTGTTGAAAAGCCACAGAGCGCGCTAGTCCTAACTCTTCAGAGACGGCGGGAAATGTTTTGCTCGCCAAAGTTGACACCACAAGAAACAGTGCTTGTAAACGAGATAACTCAAGCGTAGAATGGAAAGAGTTAATTAGATTCTCATCCACTTTGTTTGAGATTGTATTCATGATGAAAGGTTTTATTCTTCTTGCAGCAACAAACAACACAGGAAGCGGAAAGCTGAGAATAGTCAATCGGCGGACATGGTTGGCGCAGCCCCCTGTCAAGGCTAGTAATCCTCTTCACCACCCGGTCCCATATGTGGTGATCCTCCACACGGCTACGGAAAACTGTTCGACTCAGGCAGATTGTATCTTCATTGTGCGTCATGTGCAGACCTTCCACATCGAGAGCAACGGTTGGAACGACATCGGCTACAGTTTCCTGGTGGGTGGCGACGGGAACGCATATGAGGGCCGCGGATGGGACACGGAAGGCGCCTTCGCGCTTGGTTACAACAGGAAAGCTATTGGTATAGCCTTTATTGGGACATTTACATCAGATCTGCCGGTATCGAAGCAGATCCTAGCTGGAAAGCAGGTGATTGATCTGGGAGTGGAGTTGAAGAAGATCGCGCCCGATTACAAACTTTTGGCTCATCGACAGTTGTCACCCACAGAGAGCCCTGGTCAAGCGTTTTTTGAAGTTCTGAAGACTTGGCCACACTGGGCCGAAAACCCATAAAACCATAAGTCAGCACTATATGTGCATCCTGGCTCTTACTGACATGACATTTCATTAGTGAAACGTTGTGGCATTTTGATTCAGAAAATCAAAGCGTTTTCTAAGTGATTATGAATAATGGAAACAGTAAGTATCGTCTGTGTCAATATTCAAGACTTGATATGTATGGCCGCCCATTTGCCTCAGCGAGTATAAATTTACGGCAGTCATAGCCATTAAACGGTCATATGAGCAGTTGATCTGTAGCATGTGGTACAGTCTGTGAGAAACAAAAATGCATTTGTTGAGGAATCTATAGAGGCATACGTTATTAATATTACACCCTGAACACTTTTAGACCTCAGTTCAGCACCTTCAGTAGAAACATACGACTTTAGTAAATTTTCACGATCTCATTAAGAAAATGTCAACCTTTTTTAGTATATATTTCATTGCTTATCAATTCCTTTTCCATGATTTCTATTTCTATGCTTAAAATTTTTATAAATATAGTCATTTTATAAGATATCACTAATAAAATAAGTATTAGGTTACTATCAGATATCGTTTCGAGACCTTAACATTCATATTTTAAAACCCTTCCTATAACCAGTGCCAGAAATCGTAACCGTAGGTCAGAAGGCCTGCAGGTGGTTTAAAATGGTTTGGCAACGAAATTGCAACATTGATGTGTACAAGTCACACGTAATATGTTTCTAAGGTTCTGTAGTGGTGCATAGTTTCGGTTTGGCGAGTAACCTTGGAATTATTCCTCAAGGCCTGAATAACACTAATAATATCAAAATATCTGAAACCAGGAAAATATTTTAACAATACTGGAAAGGTGTAGTCCAGTTTTGTGTATATGTGTTTTACATATGCGTTCTTTGCTATTTTCCGTATATCATTGGCCTTTATGTTCGTATACTGCAGACACAAGCTTATTGGTAATAAAACTGAAAAGTCTGTGACATGGTACATTGGTACAAATATTAAGTTTTTGGACATTATCCATTGTCTTGTCTTTATCTAAAAACCGTCCTGTTTATTTTTCAAAACACAGCGTTTCGGAGACTGGATTATGCCTCCGTCTTCAGGTGAAACCTACTTAGTTGGGCCATATCCCCGGAGATAGGGATCAGTTCTATCGATTGAGCCTACTGAGTAGGTTTTACCTGAAGACGGAGACAGAATCCAGTCTCCGAAACGTTGTGTTTTGAAAAATAAACAGGACGGTTTTTAGATAAAGACAAGACAATGGATAATGTCCAGAAACATAATATTTGTATAAACCTATTGTTGCAAAGCTAAATCATACAAATGTGACACTACAGTGACATAAATGATTCATCTTTGTATTTCTTTAGCAAAATGATTTGTCTTTGTAACGTAGGGGTGGGGAGATAGGTCCATAACAACGGGCATGGTCATCTCTGAAGCCTACTTTTTTTTTTCTTTAGGGAAGGAAACGTATACTGAAGAAGTGCACCTCATCCCTGGTCGTATTTTTATTTTTCGATGTCACAGCCACCTCACCTCAAAGCAATGCATATATCTGTCTCTTATTAATAATAACAATATAGCGGACACTGTTTATGAAACCTGCTTGGAACTTCGATCGTGGACAAAGCAAGGGAAAACAAATTTGAGTGTTATGTTAAGTCAGGTTCATATTTGACCAAAAAAGAAACTCCGTGGCCTGTAGAGGGTGTCGCGTGGTCAGCGCAGCGGATCCCCACGGCCGTTAATCTCGGTTTTCTAGACCGGTCATACTAGATGAATACTGACCAAAATCAGATTCGTCCAATAGCTATTTTTTGTACGTCTCTAATACTAAATTTTGTCCAAACCCACGGAAAAATGACTTTCTCGTAATTTAATTTGTGCACTTCCTACGAAGGACGATTAAAAAGACGTCGCACTTCTAGGATCAATTTTTGAGGTACTTTGGTTATTTTAAACCCCTTGCTATCCAAGCAGTGCCTTGCCTATTTGTGACTGACGCATTTCATATATTTATGAAGTATTGTTTTTATTCTACCGTATGTTCAGTGTGATACTACTCAGACATACGTACGATATATTGCGTTAATTACCTGGCTTGATGACTTTATTATTCACTGTTACGGAAGCATGATTAAGGATAATTACAGAATTTATTCTAACATTTCTGTGTGTTATGTTCTGTAAAAGTGGTTCATTCGCAACAAGGCTCCATGAGCTAAGCTGGCCGGCTGGCTCATAGTCATAGTTATATTTTGTGTACCTTTCAAATATGGCCGAATGGATATGCTGACCTCTCTTGAGAAACAAAAGAAGGTGCCATATACAGGTTTATGTGTATTTGTTAAGACATGACCGTGGCGGCTGATAATGTCTGTGAGGGGAATGTGGTTTGGGCTGTGTGACAGTAGAAAGCTGGCCTACTGATAATGAGACTGAGTCGGTGCAACTACAGGAACGTCTCACTCGCGAAGTTCCTCAGCCACAAACCCACACCCCCCACTGTCTTTTTGTTGACATTGGTCACTTGAGATTGTAACAATATTTTGTGATGAAAGACTGAACATCAGGTTAGGCTATTGTAAGCATGCATATGTATTGTGTTATGCGCTTTAAATATACCTATATATACTGTACATATTACAAAGAAAACGATCTATTACAGCTGAATTTTCAAACTTCTGTTGTTGAATCTATTATTACACTTACACCCTGACAGTGCTACAGTGATACCAGGTGGGCCGTCTGTCACAGACTGCATTATAAAAATAGGCCACGACCATTTCCATCATCATCATCATCCTCCTCCTCTCAGGTTCAATGTTTACAACATGATTAACTCTGTTTAAGACTTATTTAAAACATGTCTTTTGTAGCTTCATTATTACAGTGACACATCGTTACGTCATAACAAATTTGCTGAATTCTGTTTCCAACATGGTCATGCTGGAGGTCACATTTTTCTTCTTTCAGGCCTGCTACTCAACGAATAACGCCCCCGCAAGGGCGTTTCAAGACACGGTATAGGAACTTCCACTGAACAGTTAACTCTTGCCATGCTACCAACGAAATGCATCGTTTGCAAACCAGCCTCTCATCCTTGTACATCTTGTGTGTGTTACATTAATAATAATAATAACAACAACAATAATAATAATAACAATAACAACAATAATAATAACAACAACAACAACAACAACAATAATAATAATAATAATAATAATAATAATAATAATGAAACCCCTCCTGCAGTTAGCTAACCGTTGTTTGCAGCACCCCAGAAAGTCGGTTTGAAAGTTTATTTATTTTCTTTTTATTATTCTTAGTGGTGTAAGACTTGGGTCCACTTGGTACTGCGGCCACAATTGGCCTATTGTACCAGCCACAGATAATAGATGGTGGTGACTGGACCAATGGGTGGAATGAAGATTGGCAGGGGAATCCGAAGTACTCGGAGAAAACCTGCCCCAGCACCACTTCGTTCACCACAAATCCCACTTGACCTGACCCGGGCTCGAACCCAGGCCGCCACGGAGGGAAGCCAGCGACTAACCGCTTGAGCTATGGCGCGGCCCAGTTTGAAAGTTACCAGAAAGCTGTACAAGCAGTGTCTGTATAGTGAAAATGTGGATTAATTTGTTGAACATTTCGGTGTGTTTGTTGTGAAGTAACTTAAATTTCGTGAAAATAAAAGGTTATCATTGTGCCTCATTCCTTTCTAGTTTCCATGATAACCTTAATATATCACAGGCTAAGTGCTGGTCGTGTAAGTAGCCTCTTTAAATGAGTTTTTTGAAACAGAATTTAGAGTGTGTCACTCCCTACGTACTGAACTGTCTTAAAAATACATAATGGTTCTTATATACCATGAAGTCAAGCAGTATTTTCTACTGCCAACTTGGTAGTACCACGTACCGTGCCACTTTCTAACCACCATAAAGCCAATAAAAGTGTTAACCGTTAAAGGGCATAACGTAATGATGCAGAACTCCAGATGTCTGTGTAAAATGTGACGTAAAGCCGATCTCGAATGGCGACGAAAATCCAAAAATTACGATTTTAATTTAAAATTGAAGAAAGCCGTCTTCCAGGATGTGACGCCGTTCCTCTCCTGCGGATTTTCGTTTTTCTTCTACCCTGAAGATGGAGGCGATACGGTCCTCCGAAATGTCGGTTAACACTATCTACACGGCGCCACATCCCAAAAGACGGCTTTGTTCATAGTCATCGCCTTGAAAACCTCAAATCTTACGTTGAATTTAAAATTCTTTCGCCTAAAGGAACTTGCAGGACCGCCTCTCTTCTTTACGTCCCACAGGACTCTGATTTTGAGATGACCTAATCCTTCCAGCCGCACTATGGCCCTGGGGTCAACTCAGCCTTTAACAGAAATGAGTACCAGGAATTAATTAAATAATTTTCCTGGGGAGTAAAGCGCGGCCGGCGCGTAAGGCTGACAACCTTACCGTCATCTTTGAGCCGATTGTCTAGATAATGTGGGACTCTCAACGTCTCACAATCCTATGGGCCTTCACGGCCTGGTACAGGGATAGCTTTACTTTTTACTTACTTTATATTCTTCACCAACGAGAATTCATATTGTACTGATGTGGAAATGGGTATACATAGAAGACATTACGTCATGCTTGATAGTTCTAAATCTCACGACGAGAGTACATATGTATGTATATTACAGTCTGTGTACAGAATAATATAGTAATTCCCTGCATTTTGCGGAACCCAGAGCTCCGCCGCCACCATCATAAGCACACGAGGAGGTAAGTATTAACCATAAATCACATGGAAGCATCTGGATTTCAAAAACCAAGGCAGAAAGCTCCAGTGAGCATGCAATGGGAGCATCTGGATTTCAAAAACCAAGGCAGAAAGCTCCAGTGAGCATGCAGTGGGAGCATCTGGATTTCAAAAACCAAGGCAGAAAGCTCCAGTGAGCATGCATCCAGAAACGTTATGGAAGTTCTGATCCTTCGTATGATTCAGCCCCCTTGCATCTGGCTGTCAGGCGTGGGTTTGTTGCGGTGGTATGTGGATATCAGCTCACTGTTTTTTCTTTCTATCTCTGCGTGTGCGCTCGCGCGTTTTTTTTAATTTAAAATGCGCTGTTACCCGTTTCGTGTTTTCGTATATATTTTGTGGCCCATTTCATGAACTGAAATTTAAAAATAATTATAATAAAGAAATCTATCAAAATTCCTTGCGTATAAACTTAATGAAGAACATTACTACGGTCCATTCATTCATTCATTCATTCATTCATCAACTGCTCTACAGCCCTTTGTTGGGCCCTGGTCACTTCTTCATTTCGTAATTTTATACACGGTAGGACTCCATGGACCGGGCGGGGGGAGGGACCAGTCTGTCGCAAGGCCGCTACCGACATACAGAATAAACACATACAGATATCCATGCCTTGAGTGGGATTCGAGCCCACGATCCCAGTGTTCGAGCGGGCAAAGATAGTTCATGCCTCAGCGCGGCCACTCGATCGGCTATTACTACGGTTACAAATGGAAAAGTAAGACTTACTATATTAAACTAGCCGGTCACGGTAGCCGAGCGGTCTAAGGCATGTACTGTCTTCTTTCGCTCGGAAGCCGGGATTGTCGGTTCGAATCCCACTCAGGGCATGGATGTTTGTGTGCGTTTTTCTGTGTTTGTCTACAGGTAGAGGCCTTGCGACGAGCTGATCACTCGCCCAAGGAGTCCTACCGTATGTGTAAGATTTAGAAAAACCGAAGTGAACGGAGTTCATGGAGGTAGGCCTAGGCCCACTGGGGCTGTAGTGCCAAGAAAAAAAAAATATTAAACTAAACGACTGTTTCGTAGCAGCGAATATTAAAGCCCACCAATACTTACTATCCCACCTCCCATCTTGACAGTCTGTTTCACTGACATCTGTCTTAATGTCGCCATTTCACTAGATCGGTTTTCCTGGAGCTTTCCGCTCCAAAATTCTATTATCGTTTCCTGTCTCACCAACTCCAGCTAGATATCACTTTG